ACTTAATATATTAATTAATCAATTCATTAATTTAACCATTTTAAAAACATTATTATTTTTACGGACGCACGTTCAGCCCCGCCCCCTTCGCGCTCCCACGTGCTCCTCTGCCGCAGCAGCGGTCACATGACCGAGTCTTCGGCTGGATAACTTCCTGTTCCGCGGTTGTTTTCCCTGCGGTATAGAAACATAACGGGTCCGCTGTGCTCTCTCTAACCCACCGGACTACAACCATCCACCTGCCGCTGCGTCCTGTTCACCTGCTTTACAAACCGCGGGGAGATGAGCACCGGAGGAGGGGCGGGTACATAGTGGACCGGAGAAAGCGACTGCACCGCCGGCGGCTCTGTCGATACAGAAAACAGAAACTAACGCAGCTGCGTACCTGCCAGAAAAAAAGGGCCGACTTCCCCGGATAACGTAAAGATCAACATCAAGTGGTGGCTACTTGACGTTAGCTCTCTCTTCCCCCCCTCCCACCCCTCCTCATCTTCCCCTTCCAAAAAACAACAACAACAACAACAACAACAGAGCCATCGATATGTCCAAATACACCAGCTTTCCAGAGCCGATGGAAGACCAAAACCCTTTCCAGGTTGGTGAAATGAGGCCTCTCCTATGTGTGTGTGTGTGCAGAGTGAAGATGAAGCTGTGTGATCTTCAGTCTGTGGATGGAAATCTGTGTAACAGCAGGCGTGTTGTCGCTCATGTGACGATGTGTGCCTTTCTTCTGGGCCTTCCTCCCTTCCCTAATCTTTAGCCAACTTGTAGCTCTTATTAACAGTGATTGCATTGATTTAAAAAAAAAAAAAATAGCCCCTCAGATGTGTTAACCATGGATTGGATGCAGTTTCCAGCAAGTCAAACGTTATGTGTGATTTTAAATGAGCCTTTTGATGTGTCTGCTATAGGACCCTGCAGTGACTCAACACAGCAGCAACACAGGATATGCCACACTGGACCTGTACAACCCATTTGATAATACGACTGGGGTGAGCAATATTCCCTTCCGTATCTGTGAGATAATCCTGGGAGGATTGTTGATAATGTGCGCTACTGTGCAGATAAAAAAAAACACACAACAGTATCCTTTTATTCCTTTGTTTTGCCATGGACAGAGACGTTGTGCTGCTTTACCCCCATTAACCATCCATCCCTTCACTTGTCCGTGTGTTTTTTATACCGTTTTGTCTCTCTAATTGAAGTAACACCGAGCTCCTGCGTTGCTGTGAGGTCATTTGTATTAATTCATTCTGAATTATGCAACATGTGAGCATGAGGCTGCAGAAACGTAGCCCCGATAATGAGACTGTATTGCCACTTAGTTGAATGTTTAATCCAATAGTCGCTGTGTTTACAGTCTCGATCAGCACTGCTTCCAGAGATGGCTGCAAGCTACGGGAGGTCATCTGTTGTATACTAGTAAATAAACGAATAAAGGCATGTTTGTTGGCCCCGTTCAATTGTTTTTCAAATACAGACACTGGCAGCATTTAACTTGCTGCAGAGCTTTAGTAGCCTCATAATCCGAATGAGTTGCCATTTCGCTTCCCTTTGCTCATTTATCCTGTTTGAATCGATGAACAAATCACCGACGATGGTGGCAATTCATTTGTCTGGAAACCGGGGGCTAGAAAAACCTCTCCACAAGATCTACAAGGTTAGAAACGTAATAAAACTGCACCCACCTTAACGACATTAGTCCATCGGCTGATTTTGGGGCAGATGTGTGCTTTATGTAGACTTGACTATGAGGACCGGATTTTACACAAATGTGCTTCATTAAACGATAAAAGATCGACTGCCACGAAAAGCAGAAAGCAGCCGTGTTAATGCACACATCGCTACGTGATGTACACCTCAGTTACATGTTATAGAGTTTCTTTTGTTGCTAGGAAACAGCTTTGGGTCTAAGCTATGGACCGTGTTATTGGAGTTGTGTTGCTAGGAAACAGCGTGGCTCCACGTGCACTTCCTGTCAGTTGCTGATATTGGCAAATACTGCAGCAACAGGGAACTGAACTGGGACTCGTTTGGGATGTTTGAAACTGAAACTAGTCTTTCAAGCCTCATGCTCACTCTAC